AAAAATTAGGAACTAATAATTTATTGGTAGGTAAGTTGTTGTTTAATAATTTATTTATTAATTTTTTTTTAATAAAAACTTTGCCCCTCACTCGGATTATCTCCTGTGTCGTGGGTGCGTTTACAAACATACAAGTTCACATACACATGATACCCAGACCCGAAATAACAATTTGTGGAGCACACAAAGTGTTGTTCCGTGCGGGAATCGAACCCGCGACACGTTGCACGGCAGCCGGTTGCCCAGCCACCGCACCAACCGTGCAGTCAAATTAATAACTTAATAAAAAAAAAATTAATTAAATAATTTAAAAAAAATATTAATAAATAACTAGCGACCCGCCCCGGCTTCGCACGGGTGCAATATGCATGTATGTACATATAAACCTTCCTTAAGAATCACTCTATCTATTGCAAAAATCCGCATCAGAATCCGTTGCGTAGTTTTAAAGATCTAAGCATACATAGGGACAGACATACGGCGGATAGCGACTTTGTTTTATACTATGTAAGTATCTCAAACATAACATCACGCCTTTTATCCCCGAACGGGTATGTAGAGGTGCACATTAAGACACTTAATGCCACTGTACAATGCAACACTCACTTTTTACTATTTGTGTTATGAGTCCCTTGTAATGGGAGGTAAGCCTATTGTCGCGGGCTCAGCTAGTATATCTTATAGGAACAATAGTTTGAAGCATCTTCATACTCATGAAAGACAATTAACCGAATAATTATTAGTTACTGCTACCTATTATGAATTAGTGATCATAAACACGACCCAAGGAGTCAAGGTTTAGTATTTTCAAATATTTTTCCTACATAACCATTGTTTAATAATTATTTGAATGATAATTATCGTCTGAGCTCTTGCTTTTTGCGTGACAAAAGTATGTTCTTCTCCATTTTTTTTGTGTAAGGATATGTATGTGTTGTGTATAGATATTTAGGTATAGCAAAAAAAATTTACATACATAACATAACATCAAGTCTTTTTTTCACTGTACAATGTAACACCCACTTTTCACTATTTATGTTGAGTCCCATGTAAGAGGGGGTTAACCTATTGCCATATACAGGGCACAATTCTAGACTCCGTGCTACTACTGACATTTTTTTTTAATAAAAATTTAGTAGTTAAAGTTTTTGTTTTTTAAAAATAAAATAGTCTTTGTAGGGTATTTAACCTCCATAGATGGGGTCCAGTAGGACTGACGCCCGATATGGAGATGCGGAAGACCTAACGGGTTGCCGGAGCTCCGGCTCGAAGTGCAGGAGTAGGAACGGGGTGGTTTTTAGTCAGTAAGAGTCTGACACTCCCTCTCGCCAACCAAAGGCGGGAGAAGTAATTGGATGATTATTCCCCCTCAAAAAAGGGTATTTAACCTCATAATACGACAGTTTCAACTTTTAACATAACAAAAAGGAACAATAATTTTAATAATAACAACAGAAAGTTGTAGAAGAAAAGAAAATTTTATATACATACATGTAAAAAAAATTACGTACAATAGTTTTAAATTCAATCAGAATTTTTCAAACTAAGGTAAGTGCACCTATACGCTTCCACCGACCAGATTACGAACGGGATGACCCTTTGAAAAATTACGAAAATAACAAAACTATCACCATGCACGTGTTTGACATTTTCATGTTTTAAGTAGGTATCTTGCAATCATGGTGATCCGTAGATAAAAGGACGTGAACTAGTGGGCGGACGCGAACAGGCGACCTTATAAACTTATTAAGCATTTCAATAAATGTTTTTAAAAATGTAGTAGGAAGAAATATATACTTTAAGAAGTATGTCCTTAAAGTACATATTTCTTATTTTAATAAATAGAAGAAGCCTTATTATAGAACTTTTGACAACAAAGGATCGCGCTAACAGTCTAGTCATAATTGATAGTTAAAAATAAATGCACTTCTATTCAATACTCACTTAGGTAGTTTTTTGTTTGTCTCACGGAACTTAATTCTTTTATTCACATCAAGCTAAGCAATCCAGTATAAACTGGCCGTCTAGTATATGTACAGAACATACAAAGCAAGACCAAGATAAATTGGACATACAGCTTGATGTGTTTATTGACAACTTTTTGCTTAATTTACTACAGTTATTAGTGTTTATAATTCTTATACATAGTCTAGAACTATTCACAAAGTACAAAATTTAGTAAAAAACAGAGCATTGGGAAAAACTTTCGGGATTTTACTTGACGCAATGTACCTACTTGACAATCTGCGAAGTGTTATGTAATAATATCGACCAAACAAGATGCAAGTAAGTTAAAAGAAAGAAAGAAAGAAAAGCATTTATTTGGCAAATGGCACACAAACAAAGATTATGAAAAATAAAAAATACAGATACTTACATAAATACATAATATTAATAACAAACATAAAAGCATAAAGAAAATAACAAAAATCATCAAAATATAAGAAAATAATGTACATACATACAATACAAAACAAATGCAATAAGTTACCATTTGTATTAAAACTTCCAAAATGATTTTAATGGATATTGGGATTAACTCGTCGAGTACCGGTTTTATAGACACAATTAAAGAACAATAGGTCGCGGTCATCGGTGACCGCTTGGTGTTTGACAGTTTAAGGTACCTATATGTCATTAGAACGACTTGGTCAGACGACTACTCATACATCCTTAGTTTCTTATCTTAGTGCAGATATATTATAAAGAGGAATAGATTTTTTGTTTGTTTGAATTCAATAGGCTCCGAAACTACCGGACCGATTTAAAAAATATTTTACCGTTGGAATCCTACATTATTCCTGGTGAACATAGACTATATTTATATTGTAACTTTCGTGAGACATACTAAATAAATTATTATGTTTTCGGCTTACTCACGTAATAATTTGACGAGGAACTCGATTAGTTTCAAGCCATGCTAGAGGCTCATATTCATGAGCCGAAAACATAATAATTAACATAGGCTATATTTAATAAGAGAAAAAGAAGGGAACAGTGACAAAATGTTGATAATTTAACCCGATGTGTGAAAAAACAACCAAAATACTTTGACTGGTAATAGAAAACTATTGAAGGCACAAACTGTCAATTTCCAAGAACTAATATTAGTATTGAGTTGCATCAGGATCACAAATTTTAAACATTGCATTGGAATCAACCTTGGCAAAAACTAATTAACATAACATAACATGACGCCTTTTATCCCCGAAGGGGTATGCAGAGGTGCAACTTACGGCACTTAATGACGATGTACAATGTACACCCTCTTTTCACTATTTATGTTATTAGCCCCATGTAATAGGGGGTGAGCCTATTGCCATATACCGGGCACATGTACAGACTCCATGCTACTACTAAGAATTTTTAAAAACTCAGTGTTACATTGCCCGACCCGGGAATCGAACCCGAGAGAGAAAGCTATCAATTTTCAAATGAAATTTCGATAAATTTTCAGAGTCTGTCTCTTCTTTTGCTCCACACACATGTAAGAAGGTTTGTCCTCAGTAGACTAAAGAGTTGGTAAATTCTTGGTTTTATCTTCCTATAATTATGATACACTTTTATCTTTTATCCCTTCTTACTACGTTCCCATATCAAAAAGACACTTTTTTGAGGGGGCAAATCATCCAATGACTTCTCCCGCCCGAGTGAGGCGAGAGGGAGTGTCAGACTCTTACTGACTAAAAACCACCCCGTTCCTACGCCTGCACTTCGAGTCGGAGCCCAAGACACCTTGAGAGATTGTTTAATCATTAATGTTAAAACAAATATATTATTAGTAAAACAACGTCTTCAAGGAGTTCCACTAAGCAGTACATAGAACAACTGCATTTTCGCAATATTTTATCATCTAATACAAACATACATAAATCACACGTATTTAGTTAGGAATAGAGTTCAATGTCGTGGTTGCGCCACACACAGCTGATATTCGTGCATGCGACCATATTGTCATTAACGATCTTGAACTTGGTACTAGTATAGGACTGACCTACTTTCTGGCCTAGATATTGTGCACAGATCACGAGGTTGAATTCTTGATTCTTATGATAGACAATGATGATTAAAATGTTTTAAAAGGACGGGTAATTACACGGGGTTAGGAATTTGAGGATTGTTGGAAATTCAGGGATTGGTTATTAGGCCTCCGGTAACCTCACTCACACGACGAAATATAATGCAAGCGTTGTTTCACGTCAGTTGTCTCTGAGGCCGTGGTATCACTCCGGTCGAGTCGGCCCATTCGTGCCGAAGCATGGCTCTCCCACACATAAAATTATTATTGTAATGCTAGAAGCCACTATTAAGCGATTTTTGTCATAATTTGAATCATTCATTGTAATTAAACAATGGATAACCATTATTGGGAACTCAGTACTATCACAATTTTGTGCAAAAATGTTAGTGTCAGTTATAGATACTACGGGAAATAACAGTTGCCATATTAGTTATCTTCAACTTAACACACAAAAAGATTCAACACAGTACTTCCATTAGTAAAAGTACTGTAAGTACGATAAACAAACACAATTATATAAATGTAACAATTTTGTCATGAGATAACGTAGATTTGGCAATAACGTTTGTATTTCATAATGTGCCGGTTCATTGTGCAAAAAAAAAGATTTCGTGCATAAATGTAATCATGAGATAGATATATATGTATCACAAGTTATGTTAGGTTAGAACTTTTTTTGACATCCCCGTCACTACCTTACAAAACCGCTGCAACTCCTGTAAGCCAGAATCTACAGTAGATACAACCATGAATACACCGGAACACTGAAGTCCGGCTCGTCCCAGGGACATGAATAACTGTCTTGGTTCCCGCAAAGAAATAAACCAGAAGATATTATAAGAGGAGAAGAGAAAAAAAATCTTGTCAATTTTGAGAATTTCAAAATCATTAATATGAATAAACTTAATTACGACCTGCGCTAAACCCTAACCTCAAAAAATTCTGAAAAAAATATTTCCCGCTATTACAGATAAACACAATGGCTTCCGCGTCAGTAATGCTGGTACAGCCTAAAGGCGAGCTTTGGGAGAAGATCAGAGTGGAACTGAACGAGAATGTTAACACTAGAGACCAGGACCTGGCCACCATTAAGGATTGGCTAAAGAAGCAGCCACATCTACCTGATGAATGGGGTGAGTTGGTGATATGATGTTTGAGGGATGAAAAAATGAATGAAGTCTTTTTTATTTTGTTTACTGTTTTGTACCACCAATAAAAGACGTTGTCAATCTGTCATATAGTTAGACATATTTCGACTTTTGCTTCACATCCAAAATAGAGATGTTTCCTAAATCATTATCTATCAACTAGACTTATCCAATAACAACTAACACAACCGTATTCAGATGAGACAGACCTTAATCACAGAAATTAAGGGAAAGTCTGCAAGAAAAATTATAGTAAGAAGCCTATAACAGTTCACAATTACCACTCTTTAGATGACCGCTGTTTGATGAGCTTCCTCCGAGGATGCAACTTTTCTTTGGAGAGGTGCAAGAAGAAACTGGATATGTACTTTACCATGAGGAGTGCCTGCCCGGAGTTCTTCAGTAACAGAGACATCACGAGACCAGAGCTGCTGGACCTTATGAAAAGAGCGTGAGTCTTAATGATGGTTAAATAATATGTTTTTTCCTCAAAAGCTTTTTAATTTATCTATGTAAATGATAATCTCAACTTCTACTCTGCATTTCAATATAGGTACCAGTTTTTCATTAGTAATTGGGTAGTTTCCAGGGTATTAAAATTAAAATACTAATTAGTCCGTCAGTTAGATAATGAAAAAATATTAGACACGTATTTTTTTATTTTCTCGTAGTAAGTTGCAATACTTGATAAAATGGCGCTAAGTTTAGGAATGGGAGATCGTCACGTCATAACGTGCCATAAAATGTGGCACGCTGTGACGTCACACGATATTTTAAATTAATATATCGTCGAAAGTATTTAATTGTGAGAAAAGAAAAAATACGTGTCTAAAGTTTTAAATCAATGTACTAGATGGACATTAGAATAAAATTTAGGAAGCTATCCTATTTGAGCTCCATATTTTAGTGCATAAACTTTATTTTTGCTGTTTTCTATCATTTCAGACAAGGACCTACTATGCCAGGATTGACACCCTCTGGCAGACGAGTCACGATTTGTAAAGGTAAGGTTACTCCATGATGCAATAAAACTCATTGATCAATCAGTTTTTTTCATAGCCCATTTAGATGTAATCAAACTATAAATAAACCAGAAAATTTTACGTTGGACCCATGCTAATACCCTTAGCGACACCTTGTACTATTATTAACATGTTCTAACAATTGGGTGGAATATAAAGATATTGCAATGTGGTTCCTGACCTATGTTATAAATACATATTGCAGAAAAATATTGCACATTTAGATGCACGTTTTATACCATTTCACTTATTGGTAAGATTTTAAAGCTTTAGCACCTTATTGCTAATAAGCTATTGCTATATTGTTTCATCATTATCAAAACTTTATAAGTGGCCTCTTCTTACACGAAGAAGATTTGAGCATTAATCACCATGGTTTCTCAATGCGCGTTTTCCTCACGCCCAGGTTTCCTCACGATATTTTCCTTCACCGTTTGTCGGTGGTGTCTAGATAATCACACACAGAGACAAGACACTAGACAATACACTTATTATTTTTACTAATTTAGATTTACATAACCTGCTTGTCTTCCCTGGGGGTAGGCAGAGACTATAGAACGCTAATTGATACAATTTTTACACACTTATTTCTCTTCATATAATTATCATTCTTTCTTTTGATTTTTGCCCTTCTTTAATATTTCGCCAATCTGGTGGTTATTTATATAACAATATTGTTATGTTCATTTTGATAAATCCTAGAAACAAACAGGAATAAAGAATATACCTATCTAGGATATTTTCCTGGTGAATCATTGTAGCCGTAATTTTCCTTATCGAGTGTTAATAGAATCGCATGTTTAAAATAATTACCAAAGAAAACTGTTCCACTTGAATTACGATTGGCAATATAGTTCACCAGTTTTTTATTATTTCCCGACAATTCTAACAGTGCTGTATTCGTAGGAAATCCTGTTAAGACACCAATACGATAGTTTGTAATACGTGATAATTGTACTAATTGATGTTCCGTGCAAAATGTAAACCGTTAACAAATATTTTGCTCTAGATGAATTGGCCATTATTTTAAACGTCCTGAATTTTTTCCTATTATTGAATGTTATTTTGAAGCCTGTCCGCACTCGAAATAAAGTTTGCACGAATTAATTTCACACTTCTGTATGCATCTTGTGAAAGTGCTAAGTGCGCAGGCGACAAAAATTTTGTGACTACACACAATACTCATATAGACACACCATTTTAAATTTCCAGCCCTTGACAAAAGAATGGATCCGCAAAACTTGAACGACGCTTTCAAGATCGCCATGATGATCGGTGACGTCAGATTGATGGAAGAAATCGAAGGTGTGGCTGGAGACATATACATTTTAGATGCTTCTGTGGTCAGCCCAAGTCATTTAGGCAAACTATCGCCCTCAGCGTTGAAAAAATTCTTCATTTGTGTTCAGGTAAATATCATTTACCTACTGTCTTTAAAGAGGTCATGCAAGAAAACGCATACGATCGTAATGAGAAATTTCATCCTTTTGTAGAAGCAGTTAATATTGTTTTCGATCCAGCAATAAATTAACCAAAAGATGTTACTTACATTAATATTCCAAGGAAAATTTATAAAATTGATCAAGTTCTAATTGGTGACGCGTATTATGTATTGCAATTTGGTGATTGATGCTACTGGCTACTGAGTATATATCCTTTTTTTAAACTAATAAAAGTTATTTTATAATTTTTCAGGAAGCGTACCCAATCAAACTAAAAGAAGTCCACGTGGTAAACACAAATCCTTTGGTGGAAACGATTTATAACATTATCAAACCTTTCCTCAAAGAAAAGATGAGACAGAGAGTAAGTTTATTATCGCATCATCACTCACTAATACTTTACTAGTGAACTAAGAAACGTAGGCCTGAGTAGGCCTCCCACCAAGACTCCAGTTAATTGTGACCTGCATCCAACGGCTCTCTTAGCACACAACATCATGATTTATCATTATCGTGTCATTGTTATGTTTATAGAAAATACTCCACACTAGAATGCTCCTTTAACTCGTCGAGTACAGGTTTTATAGACACAATTAAAGAACAATAGGTCGCGGTCACCGGTGACCGCTTGGTGTTCGACAGTTTAAGTTATTAGAAATTTACAAATGGTAGATCCCACAAAAACATTTTCAGTGCGTGAATTGACATCTACACCTAGTCTACTACGCCAACTTATCTTGTTATATCTATTCTTTCAGATTAACTTCCACAGCAGTTACACAGCCCTCCATGAGTTCGTACCTAAGGAGTTACTGCCAACAGAATATGGCGGCACTGGCTGCCCTCTTGAGGAGATTAACAGTAAGTATACTTCAAATGTACGGTTTTGAAACAATTGACTGTATTGTAGGTACCCTTGTACATACATAATAAGTCTGGGAGTGCTATGCTTTGGCACGAATGGGCCGGCTCGATCGGAGTAATACCACGGTTTCAATTTCTTCGTGTGAGTGAGGTTACCGGAGGCCCAATTACCCTCTTCCTCCCTCTCTAATCTTCCCTGAATCCTCCTGGGAGAGTCATGCTTCGGCACGAATAGGCCGGCTCGACCGGAGTGATACCACGGCCTCACAGAAAACCGATGTGAAACAACGCTTGCGTTGTGTTTCGTCGTGTGAGTGAGGTTACCGGAGACCCAATTACCCCCCTCCCTAGTCCCCGTCTCCCGATTCCCCGAATCCTACACAATCCTCAAATTCCCAATTTCCCAAAAGGCCCGTAACGCACTTATAACGCCTTAGTGTTTCGAGTGTCCATGGGCGGCGCCGATTATTACCATCAGGTGATCCGTCTACTCGTTTACCGGCTTATGCTATAAAAAAACCCAACAAACCTAAAATACCTAATCCCCAAAAGGCAGTTTAATGCACTTGTAACGTCTCAGCTGTTAAAGTATCCAAAAGTAAAAAATAATACAACTTCTAATATTGGCATTTTCAGAGCATTTTAATCTCTTATGCAATTGCTATGGTATTTCACTAGGTGCTATATTAGGACCACACAAGATTTGCAAGTTTTAATTTCTCTTGTAACTTGTCCATCATCGAGGTTTTAAATAGTGGTGGAAATAATTAAAAAAAACATTAATGTACCTAGCTGATATGGTGGTATTAATCTGTATATTTCATAAAAATTTCAGGCGCCTGGATAAAGAAACTAGAAGAATATAAAGATTGGTTCAAAGCTCAAGAAAATCTCAAAGCTAATGAGGCCCTTCGACCTGGAAAACCTACTAATTACGATGAACTCTTCGGTATTGATGGATCCTTTAGACAGCTGGCTATAGATTAGAGCACTATTTTAAACATAGATTACTCTTTATAGGAACATAGGTTACTTTTAATTCTGAGAAATATATAAATTCATTCCGATCATAACCGTCTTCGTTTAATACTATGTGTCATTGTTAGACACGAATTGACTGACTTTGTAACTCAACAATTATATTTAGTACACAACCACTCAAAATAATAAGCCTTATCAATGCTTTCGTCCTCTATAATGACTAAGATTTTGATTTAATATTAGGCTTTGCTAAAAAGCATTCGATAAGTTATATTAATGAATAGGGCCCTTTTTATAATACTTGCATTTATATTTTGCCCTCCAATAATAATAAATAAATAATTTCTATGCCTTACCTAAATGTTTGTAGTACTAAATGCAATAATCTTTGTGGTTAACAGTAGAATTGCTATGGTATGCCACAAGGCGCTATAATAGGACCACTCAACAATTTCTTGCTTTTAACTTGTTTGTATCGTGTTGACTATTAAAAATAAACCTGTAACTAAACATTAGCACGAAACTACGTAATATATCTTTAAAAATAAGATCAAATGACATAAAAAGGGCTGCAAAATAGTTCTTACTACTTAAGTTAATGAAGGTTAGTATGAATATGCGGGATATTATGGGAGATGCTTCTTATTTAATGAAAAGAAAATTTTCTAACTAGTTTTAAGTGTGGTGATTGTCTGTGATAAATTAAATGATTCTAAAAATAAAGTTATTTCATTTTAATGTTTGCCTCTGTGGCACAAAATTTGGAACGTAAAACTCACTCCTATCGGAACTAAACGAACAAATCAAGAATGGGGCAGGTATAAATTAATGAGGTATATTTATACATGTGTAGTGGTGGTCTGACGTGATTAATGCTCAAACCTTCTCCGTGTGAGAAGAGGCTTGACTCAGCAGTGGGGGTTTATAGGCTGCTGATGATATTTATACATAATTTGTACCTTAACAAACATTTTTATTTAGTTGACTCATAGGACTGTAAAAAAGAAGGGGTAGTGACGAAATGTATATTATTCTACTATCACTTCACCCCTTCACTGAATCTACCAAAAGTAACACAGAGAAATTAAGTGATTGTAAAAAAACAATTATAACCTCAGGAGACAAAACAGTATTAATATGTAAGTGCAAGAGTTTAAAACGTGGCTAAACCATTTAGTGCCAATTTTCATCCCTATGATAAAACAGTAAAGTATTAAATAGTATAACTATGCTACAACACAATAAGTACAAGTATTTGCATCTTATACCCGGATATCCTTCTTAGCAAACAGCAAACTTATATGTATCTACATAGATAATGAGAAAAGATACGTTTGTGTGACGGACACTTCACACCAAGTCTAGTTAAAGTATAAACATAATACTATTTGCACAATGATGAAAACCCAGAGTGAGATATAATATTTACTTACCTATACATTAAGTGACAATATGTGGTAAGTATGACGTTTGAAACTTTGTAAAGGATTCGTACATAAAACACCTAAACACAAGGACGTTGAAAAAAGGCGGATATATGCCCAAATACTGAAACCTTACTCAATTTTAAGTCACGCTTATGTGTAGTTCTGTCACCACTAATTCTTTGTGAAATGACAGAGATGGCACGATATTTAAGCACGACTTAAAATTGAGTAACGTTTCAGTATTCCGGCAATAGTCTCCTGAAGTAACGGCTGTGGCATCTGGCTACTATAGAACTAGCTCATCCGCCCACACGCACGAAGCGCTTCGCTTCAAGCTTCCTTGTGCGTAAAGAGGGGAATTCTTTGCCAAAGTCTGTATTTCCTGAAGGGTATAACCTGGGAGTCTTCAAGGCCCGAGTGAATAGGTTGCTTATGGGATGACGTGCTCCATCGTAGACCGCATCATCGCTTACCATCAGGTGAGATAGTGGTCAAACGTCGCCCCATCAAATATAAAAAAAGCTACACTCCAAACACACATTGACACAAAGGATATCTGTCGCATGACATAACACTTCATACATTACGGTGTGTGTTGCAAAGACACGCACACATAAGTACACCACAGACATTTTGGTGCTTCAACCATTTCTAAGTGATTTTACGACCGCCACTTTTTCAACGTTCTTGACTGAATGAGTTAATGTGACAATTGAAGCCAATTTAGATGATTTAATAATAGTCTTAAATATTTGCGTACTAAATATACCATACCTACTAGCTTCGAATATTGCAATAACGTTATCATCATTTTCATCATCATCAACATCAAAAGCCTGTGACAGTTCACTGTAATCTTCTTTCGTGTCTACTAGGGACTGTGAGTGTCTTCTACATAAGACGCGTTGGTCATGGTCTCCACGTTTGGCAGACAGGTTAAAGATCGCAGTTAAAGGTTCAGGTTTATCGGAGACTGCTGCTTCTGGTCTCTGTGTTATCAAATTAATGTCTTTACTTGGTTGGTTCATAGGAGATCCGTGAAAAAGTAGGGAGTGCTGATATATGTATACCAAAGTGTGCTATCACTACATGGCTTCATAAAATCTACCAAAAAAAAAACATAAAAAGAAATTAATTGATTGTAAAAAACAATTGGGTACTTTCCTTGATCAAAAATAAATTATTTTGACTGTTCAACAAAAGAAAATATTTAAAAACAATCACACTTTCATTAAATGATTTTTTTTTAAAGATATGCTGTTTTACGCTAAAAAACGTGACGTCACAATACATAATCTCGTAAAAAATGGCTAGTACCCAATTATTAATCTCTTGATACCAAAAAAATATTATGTAACCACAAAGGTTAAAACGTGGCTAAACTATTTAGTACCAAAGGACAAGAGGTTAACAATTATAGAACAATTCTTCATATGATACATAAGCACACATTACATATGTACTTGAACTATGTTTCCTTATGCGACTTAGATATAAGGTTGTGATTTCATTGGCAGACAGAATCAATATTTATTTGGTGCTTAAAATCAGTAGGTACAGAGTTATAGACCTAGACTATCATAGTAATAATTCTGTTGTGAGGCGGAGGTAATTTAGATAGAAAGGCTATATTCTCAAGTCTTATAGACATTATATTAATAACAAATCTAAAATACTTTTGAAGTTTTAAATAGAGTTCTACTGGAATTTTCTTATTTTCATTTTTTTTCCATGCCACTTGAGTCGAATGAGTCGTGGTGGCCCGGAAGTTTAAGACGCTTCTCATGCATGAGGATGAGGGTTCGAAAGCTACTAACAACAAGTACCAATGTGACTTTTTCCGAGTTATTATACCTAACTATGTAGTTTCTAAGATTATTTAGACACCACTGACAAGAGTGGTGAAGGAAAGCAAACAACAGGCGATAAATGCCCAAACCTTATCCGTGTGAAAAGAGGCCTTAAGTTAGCAGTGGCCACTTATAGGCTGTTGATGGTGATGCCTCTTACATTTTCATCCCCTCAGGTAGATGCGTTTTTTATAATTATCACCCATAACATATATCATACCGGTTTTAATCAAAGACGTACTTAGATGAACACATTTAATATATCATTTGTTTGTTTCAGATATGTCAAAATAAGTTAACTAAAATCACGGGTTACTCACGTGAATATACTGAGAAAAGCTCTACTAGTTTCGAACCACAGAGGGGTTCTTCCTCATAGCAGCGTGCGCGGTCGCGGCGACGTCGCGCAGCTCACTGTTAATTTAGTCTCACGATAGTTATTATAAAAACACAGTTAAAATAAGCTTAAAAATCGCTCCCGCTAACTCTCCTCTAACCTGTAACCACTACACAAATGTGACATGCATGCACAATGTTATCAATATACATATCTACGCATCTCTGTCCGTACGTGACTAACGTTCCAAATTAAGTTTATAAGTACTTAGAACACAATATAACATCTTTTGTATTAAATGTGCTGCAATTGAAAATTTTAAAACAATCGCTTTTGTTGTTCAGTAAGATTATATTTGTATTAGTTTTTTTGTGGCACAAGCCCATTACAAGCTCCCAAAACCGCTGCAACTCCTGTAAGCCAGGATCTACAGATACACTATGAAAACACCGGAACACTGAAGTCCGGCGCGTCCCAGCGACATGAATAACTGTCTTGGATCCCGCAATGAAATAAATCAGAAGATATTAATAGAAGAGAAGAAAAAAACGATAGTTTCTACTTCTGAATTGATGCAGGAGACAGAATGACTTAAGGCTAAAGGCACAAAAGAGACTACACGACTGAGAGAAGCCCAAGCCACGAAGTCGCCACGCACCACAATAAGACTAAAAATTAAATGTTTGTATTTCATCAACAGCCTGTTTTCGTCCACTGCTGGACATAAGCCTCTCCAATGCCACGCCACTGAGCTCGGTCTTCAGCTCTACGCATCCAACCACTACCAGCCACTTTACGTATATCGTCACTCCACCTAGCTGGAGGGCGCCCTACACTACGTTTGCCTAGACGTGGTCTCCACTGTAGAACACTGTTTGTATTTGTATAAAGATAATTCTTTACTTGTTAGAATTCAAATTGAAAAAAATAAATACCCGTTTTGGTTTTTGGTTTTTTTATCATCTTATGATGACTTCTCCTGCCCGGGTGAGGCGAGAGTCCTACTGACTAAAAACCACCCCGCTCCTACTCCTGCACTTCGAGCCGGAGCCCTGGCCACCTGTTAAATCTTCCGTGGCTCCGTATCGGCATCAGTCCAAAATAAATCGCAGTTCAAGTCGCTTTGTTTTCTGATTAGTACCTTAGTCAGTTCTTACGATACCCATGGAAGAAATAGCGGTAGTGATAGAAAGTATTCTACTCTATCACCTCGGTTAACCAAACGACAACGTAGCAATAGACCATTAGTTGTATTTCACAAAAACTATAACTGGCATACTGCCTCCACTTACACATAGGTTCTTTTACACCGCAAATGATGTCTAATAATAACTCCTCATCGCCCTCAGTCCTTCGTAGGTTTTTGCCCTTTCGACGGCCCTTGACGTTACG